ACCTATTGATAGCAACCCATTATATGATTTCAACTTTCAAGAGACAGTGCATATTAATGAAGTTGTCATTAGGCCAGTGAGAGACTATGAAATTGAATTGTTCCATGTTTTATTGTAATTTATTGTGACAGGGTGATGGAATTATGCTGACATGCACATACAATAGTGAAAATCGAAACACAGTAACATTGGTAAGCTATCCTCCCACATAAGCTTTAGGTTTTGAATGTTGCTTATAATAGGGAGGGGAAAGCACTTATGAGGAAATGTGTCTATCATTTCTGAACTATTATCCAAGGATGGGAATGACTGACTGTTATAGTTTGTCATATCCACAAAGTTTTAGACAATTCTTATCAAGACACTACAGGTAGTACATTAATGTGCCCTGTATAGCTATCTTTCTATTTTTCATAGTCAAAGTGAAATTGCTGGAATTTTCAGTAATAGTCCAGAAAATGGTCTAACAAGGTCTGAAGTCGATGAGATATTTAATAATATCACTTGGACACATGAGGAAACTGAAGTCTTAGAAAACTCACTCTCGACTGGCTCTCAAATTTCTTTTTGCTATGGACCTGTAAGCTTATACTCTTTGCCAATAATATATTGTTTACTGAACTATTGTACTGTCATTAGTCACTGTATGCAGAGGCATTACAAAATGTGCCATCCATTGGTTGTCCTTATGAAGCACCTCCTGTAATGCTGGAGTGTCCTGACTCTGTTGATCCTACCACTAATCCTACCACTGATCCTACCACTGATCCTACCAGTGGTGCTGTGTCATTGATTACTCTCTCAGTCACAGTGCTGCTCTTTGCTATGATTGCAATGATCCTCATTAATTAACTCTTTCTCCTACTCCATTTTTTGCTGCTTTTTGTCTTAGATTATCCAACAGGGATTGGACTTTTTCTGCCCTTTTCAGTATTCATGCCCTTTTTGTCATTCATTTGTGCCCCTTTTCATCTGCTGCTTTTTTAATAGTCAATGATGATAATAATTTTATTCATGTCCTCCATGCCTCCATCAACCTGTGGTCCATTCGGTGTCATGAATATATGACCACCACTTCCACCTTTTGGATTCCCTGATGAGAAAATGGTCTTTATTTCTCCCTTTCTCTCTCTTATTTCTCTTGTCATTTCTACATCAATTTCATTTCATTTTGCTTTGTTCTTAACAAGTTCTCCCACAACGTCTGTGAACTAGACTTAGTTTTCAACTTTTATAAGGTACTCAAGTTCAAAACCTCCCTTTGCCTAATAGTAGATGCATTATTCTTCTTGTATCTCTTTTTTTTAAAAGGTTTATGCCGTTGTTGATGAAATGTTTTTAGCCGGTGAGATAAGAGAGATGAGTCAGTCGAGGGTCCTACAGCAGCTGCAATATTTAACCAATCGTCAAGATGGCAAATTTGCAAAAATTAATGGTTGAGCTTATCAATATCAATATAAGCTCAATCATTAATTTTTTGCAAATTGCCATCTTGATGATCTTGTACACTATTAAATTGATCCAGAGTTTCATAGGATTTTGGCATAGTGCTTAAGTTTGAGCTGATTCCAATCAAATTTGGATTTTTTATTATTTTTGAAGTTGCTCCATATGCTATAAGGCTTCTCAGCTCACTAAGCGCTCACTGAGCATGCTTTGTTGGGAACACAAAATTGACGACAGATTTTTTGCATTGTCAGATACGCTATTAGCATGACATTTGCATGTATGTTAGCATAAGATTTGTGTTCTTGTTTGCATGAGATAGTCATGTGAAATTATAATAGCATAGTGCTGATGTGTAGTAGAGTAACAGCGACCCTTATACTTTGTTATGCAATATTGGAATGGAGTGCATGTGATTTGCATGCACACACATCACTCACTGTTGTACACACCTGCATGTTGTTATCAAATCGAGAATAGACTAGCTATACAGCTCTATAAAGAACAGAGCTAGGCTGTGGTAAACATTCGTTTTAGTACAAAATGGGTGCACCACTCTTGATTGCTCTTCTGTTGGTCCTCCCTTGTTGCTTCTGTGACAATCACCATAATCTTGAATCTAAGTACAACTTTAGGAAGGTCCTCCATCCTCAATATACTCTCTACTGGAACTACAATCCAACAGACAGTAACCTTACCTTTGCAGTCAGAGTACAGACTACAGGATGGGTTGGATTCGGTGTATCACCTAATGGAGGAATGGTTGGATCTGATATGGTCATTGGATGGGTACAGAATGGACGTAGCTACTTTAATGTAAGTATAACTGTGTGTCTAATGGTATGTTATACTGAGTCTGCATAGGATAGGTTTGCTACTGCCCAGTCTACTCCAGCAGTTGATAT